CTAAAGGCTAGAACTGATCTGATGATGCCAGCACAGTGATTCGATTGTTAAATGAACTTGTCTGAATCAGCGGCTCTCGTCTGATCTGCAGACGGCACACGACTGGTTTTGTAATCTTGGTGATAACTGGTGTAATCTGATCATGTCTGATTCACTACAAAGCAGTTCATTTCGATCTCTGCAGAAGTTTCTGTTGAGTTAAACTAGAGTAGATAAAGGCTGACATGGTTTACTTCTCATTTTAACGTTTGAGTTTTACAATGTGGCGCTGAGAAAGAACAGCTTCATGGTACGATCATGTCATTCGTGAGACCTGTTAGGATCCACTCAACTGAGCTGGATTTAATGTGACTGACAGTCAACATGTATACAAGCTTACATTGCAGATATTCTGTAAGATCTCCTCATGTGAAGTCTTTGAAGGAACACTTTGTGCTTGATGCCGACTGAAGCTGTGTTTGCAGGATCTGGCCGCAGTATGTGAAGGACAGGATCCACTCTACATACATGTATTTCGCGGGCAGCGTGGGTCTGACGGCGCTCTCGGCCGTCGCGGTCAGCAGGACACCGGCGCTCATGGGACTCGTGATGAGGGGCTCCTGGCTGGTACGCTAGAGATCATACTGCTTTTTATTCATCGCCTTTTACATACACTCTTCATAACAACAAATCAACAAAACGTACTGTAAGGCAGCTACTAATTATATACTGTATTATAGCATCCTATGGCACAGTAATGATCCAGCTTGTAGTTTAATATTCACATTGATGTTTAATGCTGTGACAACCTTATGAACGATCCGCAGGCTATTGGCGCCACGTTCGCTGCTATGATCGGTGCCGGGATGCTGGTGAGGTCGATCTCGTACGAACACAGTCCGATGACGAAACACCTGGCCTGGGCTCTACACGCAGGTAAAGTGCTTTCACTGCTTTAACTGACCTCCAGAGGGCACTGCAGTCTGCGTTTGTGCTTCGGCTGGGTTAGTTTAGCACTGCTAATGTTTCTCTGGTGCTCATGACGTCGTGTGCAGGTGTGATGGGAGCCGTCATCGCTCCCTTAACTCTGCTGGGTGGCCCGCTGATGGTTCGAGCAGCCTGGTACACCGCAGGAATCGTGGGCGGTCTGTCGACGGTGGCCATGTGTGCGCCGAGCGAGAAGTTCCTGAGCTTGGGCGGCCCGCTGGCCGTGGGCTTCGGCGTGGTGTTCGCCTCGTCTCTGGGTGAGATGCATTTACAGTCCGCCGCAGACTGTGTGGCTGTTTAATCTTACAGACTTCACAGGAGTTTCTTCTGCTCTCTCCTCTCTGCAGGCTCCATGTTTCTGCCCCCCACCTCTGCATTCGGGGCCGGTCTGTACTCGGTGGCGGTTTATGGAGGTCTGGTCCTGTTCAGCATGTTTCTGCTGTATGACACACAGAAAGTCATCAAGCGTGCCGAGACGCACCCTCTTTATGGCGTTCAGAAATATGACCCCATTAATGCGTAAGTGTTTTCTGTGGGCAAGCTAAGAGTCAGATTTGTGCATTTGTAATATGTGTTTAGTTTCATTCAGTCTTTCTATCATTTAAACGACACACAGTATGACTGGCGTCTGTTAACATCGCTGCTCCTGCTCTTCCAGATGTATGGGCATTTACATGGACACGCTCAACATCTTCATGCGACTGGTGATGATTCTAGCTAACGGCGGCGGAAACAGAAGGAAGTAGCCGTAAGGAGACAAGAACACATGACACTGACTGGACGAGAAAGATTTAGCTGAACAAAGTTTATTCATTTATTTTGCATTTATTTGTTTAAAAGCAGATAAAACCTTTGGATTGCTTTCAGCTGAATTGCATTTTAAACATGTCCAACAGTACAAGGTAATTGGCATAGTTAATTCAAATTAGGCTGAATGCAGATCGTCTTCCACAGCTGGTGTAATTATAACAAATATTTTTGTATATTTATTTTAGGAAAGAGATCACAACAGACTTAGTTATTGCACAGAAAACACTGTGATTGTTCTGTTCTTGCAGTTTGGGGTTCATGGTTCAATAAACTTTAGTGGTATCTCAAACTACATCTTTAACGTTTAATCACCATTTTTCTGACATTTTAACAACATATCTGGCACTGTAAAAGCTGAAGACACTTAACTTTAGAGCAGCTGATGTTGAATCCTCAAGACAGAAATTCCTCATGTGTTCTGTTATCTTGTCGTTTCATTGTTTTCTTTGAGCGTTTAGTTGAATTCAGTGTTGTCTGATGATTTTACACATTGATTTTAGGGTCTTTGATTCTTCAGATTTTTTCCATTTATTTCCATGAAGTCTGTGTTGTGCTGTTATGAGAGTATCTGACCAGCGGCAGATGACAGTGAGATTAGAGAATAATTCTCGTGTCTCCATCTGTATTCTGATGCTGATTAATCCAGAGAGGATGGGGACATCAGCACTGCTGCAGGTGCCACTTACTTTAAAAACTCAAACGTTAGGAAATATTGTGGAGTGATTGCAGGTCTCTTTGACTGTCAAAGCACTTAAAGTGCGTTATTGAGAAGTGACTGTCAGTGTCCACAGGAGCAGATCTGGTGTGTGTTTGTGTGATCATGTAGTCGCTCTGACTGTAAACCAGCAGAGGGAGCATCAGACACATCACTCGGTTGCCCCCCAGATGTCTTGCCATAGGCTTGTTTTTAGTGAATTACTAACTGCATCTGGCATGTGTAGGCAGCTGGCTAGGGCCGCTTTTCTCCTCTATAAACTTAATTTTAGGCGGTTTCTATAGCGTGATCTTAATGACAATGTCGAGAGCGCATAATGTTACGCGATCCATGTAATGCTCTCCACTCCACGCGAATTTCCTTCACTCTCACAAAACTGCATGTGTGCTATTAAATATACATTGTTCTTTTATGAATTGGCTCTGCTCTCGCTCAGATATTACGTGTAAACGTTGTCCTCGCATCACTGAAGACCAGAGGAGCTTTTCTTCTAATTCAGGTGAAGAGTAGGCTTTTCTCACTAAATGGAAGCAAGCTGATTATAGTCAGCCTTCTCTAGTTATTTATTTTATTAATACTTATTTTAGTTAAGTGCTTAATTTGTAAATATGCATTTATTAAATTAGTTTATTTAGTGCATTTGTATTTTGTTGTTTTTATATATAGTTATACAATAAAAGTGTATCAACCAGGTTCCAGAAATAATCACTGCGGGTGCTTCTGAAATGAGTGAGGGTGCTCTAGTCTTAATGCACATTTTCACATATTTTGTCCCGTCTATTGCTATGGTAACCGAATCTTCGCAATGTGTGTGTGTGGCCGAAAAACAAAGTTCTACATTTTAAATGGATTATAAGCCTAGAAAGCTCGCAGAGAGCGATCATAACCACTAAACAGCTGTCACTCTTTGTTTATCGCGATCTCACAAAGTTCTGTTACCAATTAATCTCACACTGCGCAATTAATATATTATTAACATCGTGTATACACTGCCCCAGAGACTGACCTCTCGTTTAAAATGCTGTAGATACGCCCCTGAGAGGAGAAACACTGAAGTCGCAATCACAGATTCAGTTCACAGAGTGAACAGAATACATTTTTTTCACAGTAAAATTCACGCTATGTAACAAATGTTACACTTAAACACATATGAGGTAAGATGCAAACAAAGTAGCTGTATTTTAAAATATAATGACCAAACCTTCTTGAAAACCCTTGGCGACTGAAAGCTTCAAGATCCTGAGTTACTCAGTCATAATTACGATTTAAGAAGTTCTTAATTTGCCATCATATTATATATATTTAATACAGATTGTTACAAATCTAAATTCAGAGTGGATGAATCGTATGAAGCTTGACGCATATGATACATATTAACAAGACTATAAGACTATTTTGCTTGAGAATTGTGAACAGCCACAGCTAATAAACTATAATACTCGATGGAACAATAATTTATTTATTCCTTTATTCCTAGTTGTATTGAGAAGGATGTCTGTTATTAAATTACTGTTTCCGCCATTTAATAAAGCAATAATCTGCTTGAGACCATGAGTACAGTGATTTCACTCCAAATCTTATCAGCACGCTTTACTGACAACATACTTACAGTAATGCATGCCTTAAGTGGCTTAATGATTTAAATATGTTTTCAAATATGATCTGTGTTCATTAGTTGTTCTGCAGTAGAAGTAGGAACACAGATAGGCTCGTCTCGCACTGAAATGGATGTAGGATGTTTTCAGCGATGGCATAGAAACTGATCAGACAAAAAAACACAAAACCTCAGTGAACTGTTTACTGTCTGATTCGTCCTTGAACTGCTTCTGTGAGTTGTTTGGTTGAGTAGAGTAAATCTGATCTGTTTATTTGATCATATTTCATATTTTTCAAACTGCATATAACATTTTACAGCATCAAAAAGAAGCTCCATCATTCCAGCCCTTGTACTCAACAACTCGCTGTCATTCATATCAAGTGTTATCCAGAAATCCAGACTATTCTTTGAAACTATTTGTTCCTGCAGTGAAACTCTGGAGTGTCTGCTAGTCTGTGTGTTCAGGGCAGATCGATCATATCTTTAATGTTCAGTTACTCGTACACTTACTCAAATAAGAAAGAACTCAATTTCTGTTGTGTTTTCGCTCCATAATGTGTGAAATGTGTGATGCAAAAAAACAGATGTACGTCACATTCAGCCCTTAAAATAGGTCAGTGACATGCTGTGCTTTATCAGGAGCTGATGCACTTGTAGACTTCATAGGAAAAGTATGGATGTATTGAAGGTTCTGTCATTCCATTTCATTTAGTTCTGAGTCCAGGTCACAGCGGGAGTTATGGAGTCTGCTGCTGAAGGATAAACTTGCATCTTACGTTTGAAAATAAAGACATGGCACTGTGTTCAAAACTCTTAAGTGAACACACTAACCTGACACTTTCTATTCAAATTGAGTTTTTCATTGAGTTTCCCTTCATTCCTGTGGGTCAGCGGTGTTGTGTTGGGTCTGGTTTGAGTCACAGGATTACTGAAGCTGCGCTCAGACGTGTGTAAAGACGTCTTCAGACGAGCAGCAGCTGCAGCGCTCTCCATATGATCCTTCAGTCTCTTTACACTTCTGCTGCAGGATGAAGAGTATGACTTTAATTCTTCTCATCTCACTGTGCGTGTCTATGGGTGAGTTACTGGCTGTTTTACTGGTTAGAGACGAGTCTGTAGTCTGTGTGTAATCCGCTTCAAACTGTGATTGTCTCAATAATCCTTTAAGTATAATAGAAGAACTGAGCGAGTGTTTGCAGGACAGCAGAGCTGTGCTTCGGAAATTAGCTACTTTGTGCTTTAAAATACACTCTTGACTTAAATCATTAGAATTTGCAGTAGAACTATTGTTTTAGTTTTGGAGCAGTTATCTAAAATTCAGTGACATTCTTTACTGAGACTGAATTTCAGTTGAATTGGTCCAGATGATTTTAATGTCAATGATTTCACTCAAAATCACATCACAGCCCACACTTTATTTACCACATTGTCTGTGATTTTGTGTGTGTGAACATCATCATGAGGTGTAGTAGGTTTAAATGTTTGATGTGTATTTCCATGTCATTTAATGCTGAGTTTCAGGGATTTGTATTTTTCAGGGCGATCTGACTTTGCGCCGTGTTTCTATGATAATGGAGCTGGAAGCAGCAACGGAAACATGGGGTTATTCAGCATCTCTGAAGACACATCCGTTGGTTAGCATTCACTTCTATGATAACGTACTGTCAGATAGAGAGGAATAACAGACAATATGATAAAAGAACATCACATGTACTTACTGTATATAAGCACAGATTGAATGTGTCATATTGAACTAATCAAAGAACATCGATATAATGAGCCTAATCACTCTGATCCTGCTGAATACATATTTATTGTGTGCAAATATTTGTTTGATTTTTATAGAAAGAAATATTCAGCTAATTGTAATCTAATACGAGTGATGGGGAATTGTTTGGGTTCTAGGATCTTCTCGATATTGACGAGCACATTTTAATGTTAGCTGAATTTCTGGGACGTGTCTATATCTGTTTATGGTGGATATGACCCTGCTTGTACTACATTTAACAAATATGATAATATTTGCTACTAAGATACTTTATAGTAGTAAATATTGTCTTTAAGATCATAAACACACACAGTTCACCGGAGATCATGTGTAATTCTGACTCATTCTTCCACAGGGTCTCATGTTTACACACTGAACGGCTCTGACCCCGAAGGCGAGCCGGTGACCTACGACATGACCTTTGATAAGGGCTCCAAAGAGTACTTCAGCGTCGAGCCCAAATCAGGGAACGTGACTCTCATCCAAACACTGGACAGAGAGGTGAGAGTAGATGGGGATCGATCCCGACACAATATGTCGACATAGTTCTGGAAAATAAACCATGAAGTCAAACGTATCTGTGTTAGTAATTCACTCGTTTCGATTGTTAAGGTTCAGGATGAGATCGTTGCATTTGTGACCATCACAGATGGCAGAAATAAGGTGAAAAACATGATTCTGTTAAGCTTTGATCACAGGATTATTTCTTAAAGCTGAAGTGTGTGATTGTTTGTATGTTCAGCTAGTTTGTGGTGTGTAAGTCAGTCATCCCTGAAGAGAGAACCGCTGTGTTCGCTGCACAGATCGATTCGCTTCGGACTGAAATGACAACATCACCACGAGAGTGATTTCAGAGCAGTCTCTCTGATGACGAAACAGCTGTTTCACAGACAACAAACACTCTCAGTTTAGATAAAGCTCATACATACTTAATGTTATGCCATGTTAAAAATATAGAACCCTGATTCAATGTTTTTAAATGTTTTGTTTTGTTTTTTAGTATAATTATTGTTGGAGAAATATATTGTTACCTATTTTATTTTGATTAATAATAAAAATAATAATAATATATTGTTACCTATTGTATTTTGATTAATACCTACTGGTGCCAAAATTACATGCTTCACCTTTAAGAAATATGCTTGCCTTTGACAGCTGATTTCATAAATATTATATTGTTCCTTAATTATTATTTAATCCCATAGTCTTCTGCTTATTATGTGTATCGTGTTGAATGTGTTTTTAGGGTGTATGTACTGTTGGTAAAGTCAGATTTATTTTATATCTCTCTTCTCCAGGTTGTAGAAAATGTTCGAGTGTTCATCACAGATGCTAACGATGAAAAGCCTGAGTTTCTGGATCTGCCGCTCGTAGTGGACGTCCCCGAGGTAAGAATGAGAAGCGGTTTGGAAATGAACAGATAAGTGTCATCATGAGTTGTTGTTGAAGTGTGTGTGGTGTGTGTTGAAGGACGCAGCTTCAGGCAGCAGCATCTACAGAGTCCAGGCCGTCGACAGAGACCTCGGGTCCGGAGGAAGTGTGACCTACTACCTGCAGGTCAGACAGAACCACTTCCTGTGGAGTCACGCTTCAATCATTTAGTCTCTCTTCAAGGGAACAAGATAATAATCAGTGAGGATATCTGAATCTGTAATGCCAGCATTAAATCTGTGTGAGGCTCAGTTTGTAGAGGACAGTCACAGGCTCGTATCGCTGGCCATCGAACAGACCGTGACACCATACAATAAAAGTGTATCAACCAGGTTCCAGAAATAATCACTGCGGGTGCTTCTGAAATGAGTGAGGGTGCTCTAGTCTTAATGCACATTTTCACATATTTTGTCCCGTCTATTGCTATGGTAACCGAATCTTCGCAATGTGTGTGTGTGGCCGAAAAACAAAGTTCTACATTTTAAATGGATTATAAGCCTAGAAAGCTCGCAGAGAGCGATCATAACCACTAAACAGCTGTCACTCTTTGTTTATCGCGATCTCACAAAGTTCTGTTACCAATTAATCTCACACTGCGCAATTAATATATTATTAACATCGTGTATACACTGCCCCAGAGACTGACCTCTCGTTTAAAATGCTGTAGATACGCCCCTGAGAGGAGAAACACTGAAGTCACAATCACAGATTCAGTTCACAGAGTGAACAGAATACATTTTTTTCACAGTAAAATTCACGCTATGTAACAAATGTTACACTTAAACACATATGAGGTAAGATGCAAACAAAGTAGCTGTATTTTAAAATATAATGACCAAACCTTCTTGAAAACCCTTGGCGACTGAAAGCTTCAAGATCCTGAGTTACTCAGTCATAATTACGATTTAAGAAGTTCTTAATTTGCCATCATATTATATATATTTAATACAGATTGTTACAAATCTAAATTCAGAGTGGATGAATCGTATGAAGCTTGACGCATATGATACATATTAACAAGACTATTTTTTTATGTTGCTTGAGAATTGTGAACAGCCACAGCTAATAAACTATAATACTCGATGGAACAATAATTTATTTATTCCTAATATTAATGTTGTATTGAGAAGGATGTCTGTTATTAAATTACTGTTTCCGCCATTTAATAAAGCAATAATCTGCTTGAGACCATGAGTACAGTGATTTCACTCCAAATCTTATCAGCACGCTTTACTGACAACATACTTACAGTAATGCATGCCTTAAGTGGCTTAATGATTTAAATATGTTTTCAAATATGATCTGTGTTCATTAGTTGTTCTGCAGTAGAAGTAGGAACACAGATAGGCTCGTCTCGCACTGAAATGGATGTAGGATGTTTTCAGCGATGGCATAGAAACTGATCAGACAAAAAAACACAAAACCTCAGTGAACTGTTTACTGTCTGATTCGTCCTTGAACTGCTTCTGTGAGTTGTTTGGTTGAGTAGAGTAAATCTGATCTGTTTATTTGATCATATTTCATATTTTTCAAACTGCATATAACATTTTACAGCATCAAAAAGAAGCTCCATCATTCCAGCCCTTGTACTCAACAACTCGCTGTCATTCATATCAAGTGTTATCCAGAAATCCAGACTATTCTTTGAAACTATTTGTTCCTGCAGTGAAACTCTGGAGTGTCTGCTAGTCTGTGTGTTCAGGGCAGATCGATCATATCTTTAATGTTCAGTTACTCGTACACTTACTCAAATAAGAAAGAACTCAATTTCTGTTGTGTTTTCGCTCCATAATGTGTGAAATGTGTGATGCAAAAAAACAGATGTACGTCACATTCAGCCCTTAAAATAGGTCAGTGACATGCTGTGCTTTATCAGGAGCTGATGCACTTGTAGACTTCATAGGAAAAGTATGGATGTATTGAAGGTTCTGTCATTCCATTTCATTTAGTTCTGAGTCCAGGTCACAGCGGGAGTTATGGAGTCTGCTGCTGAAGGATAAACTTGCATCTTACGTTTGAAAATAAAGACATGGCACTGTGTTCAAAACTCTTAAGTGAACACACTAACCTGACACTTTCTATTCAAATTGAGTTTTTCATTGAGTTTCCCTTCATTCCTGTGGGTCGGCGGTGTTGTGTTGGGTCTGGTTTGAGTCACAGGATTACTGAAGCTGCGCTCAGACGTGTGTAAAGACGTCTTCAGACGAGCAGCAGCTGCAGCGCTCTCCATATGATCCTTCAGTCTCTTTACACTTCTGCTGCAGGATGAAGAGTATGACTTTAATTCTTCTCATCTCACTGTGCGTGTCTATGGGTGAGTTACTGGCTGTTTTACTGGTTAGAGACGAGTCTGTAGTCTGTGTGTAATCCGCTTCAAACTGTGATTGTCTCAATAATCCTTTAAGTATAATAGAAGAACTGAGCGAGTGTTTGCAGGACAGCAGAGCTGTGCTTCGGAAATTAGCTACTTTGTGCTTTAAAATACACTCTTGACTTAAATCATTAGAATTTGCAGTAGAACTATTGTTTTAGTTTTGGAGCAGTTATCTAAAATTCAGTGACATTCTTTACTGAGACTGAATTTCAGTTGAATTGGTCCAGATGATTTTAATGTCAATGATTTCACTCAAAATCACATCACAGCCCACACTTTATTTACCACATTGTCTGTGATTTTGTGTGTGTGAACATCATCATGAGGTGTAGTAGGTTTAAATGTTTGATGTGTATTTCCATGTCATTTAATGCTGAGTTTCAGGGATTTGTATTTTTCAGGGCGATCTGACTTTGCGCCGTGTTTCTATGATAATGGAGCTGGAAGCAGCAACGGAAACATGGGGTTATTCAGCATCTCTGAAGACACATCCGTTGGTTAGCATTCACTTCTATGATAACGTACTGTCAGATAGAGAGGAATAACAGACAATATGATAAAAGAACATCACATGTACTTACTGTATATAAGCACAGATTGAATGTGTCATATTGAACTAATCAAAGAACATCGATATAATGAGCCTAATCACTCTGATCCTGCTGAATACATATTTATTGTGTGCAAATATTTGTTTGATTTTTATAGAAAGAAATATTCAGCTAATTGTAATCTAATACGAGTGATGGGGAATTGTTTGGGTTCTAGGATCTTCTCGATATTGACGAGCACATTTTAATGTTAGCTGAATTTCTGGGACGTGTCTATATCTGTTTATGGTGGATATGACCCTGCTTGTACTACATTTAACAAATATGATAATATTTGCTACTAAGATACTTTATAGTAGTAAATATTGTCTTTAAGATCATAAACACACACAGTTCACCGGAGATCATGTGTAATTCTGACTCATTCTTCCACAGGGTCTCATGTTTACACACTGAACGGCTCTGACCCCGAAGGCGAGCCGGTGACCTACGACATGACCTTTGATAAGGGCTCCAAAGAGTACTTCAGCGTCGAGCCCAAATCAGGGAACGTGACTCTCATCCAAACACTGGACAGAGAGGTGAGAGTAGATGGGGATCGATCCCGACACAATATGTCGACATAGTTCTGGAAAATAAACCATGAAGTCAAACGTATCTGTGTTAGTAATTCACTCGTTTCGATTGTTAAGGTTCAGGATGAGATCGTTGCATTTGTGACCATCACAGATGGCAGAAATAAGGTGAAAAACATGATTCTGTTAAGCTTTGATCACAGGATTATTTCTTAAAGCTGAAGTGTGTGATTGTTTGTATGTTCAGCTAGTTTGTGGTGTGTAAGTCAGTCATCCCTGAAGAGAGAACCGCTGTGTTCGCTGCACAGATCGATTCGCTTCGGACTGAAATGACAACATCACCACGAGAGTGATTTCAGAGCAGTCTCTCTGATGACGAAACAGCTGTTTCACAGACAACAAACACTCTCAGTTTAGATAAAGCTCATACATACTTAATGTTATGCCATGTTAAAAATATAGAACCCTGATTCAATGTTTTTAAATGTTTTGTTTTGTTTTTTAGTATAATTATTGTTGGAGAAATATATTGTTACCTATTTTATTTTGATTAATAATAAAAATAATAATAATATATTGTTACCTATTGTATTTTGATTAATACCTACTGGTGCCAAAATTACACGCTTCACCTTTAAGAAATATGCTTGCCTTTGACAGCTGATTTCATAAATATTATATTGTTCCTTAATTATTATTTAATCCCATAGTCTTCTGCTTATTATGTGTATCGTGTTGAATGTGTTTTTAGGGTGTATGTACTGTTGGTAAAGTCAGATTTATTTTATATCTCTCTTCTCCAGGTTGTAGAAAATGTTCGAGTGTTCATCACAGATGCTAACGATGAAAAGCCTGAGTTTCTGGATCTGCCGCTCGTAGTGGACGTCCCCGAGGTAAGAATGAGAAGCGGTTTGGAAATGAACAGATAAGTGTCATCATGAGTTGTTGTTGAAGTGTGTGTGGTGTGTGTTGAAGGACGCAGCTTCAGGCAGCAGCATCTACAGAGTCCAGGCCGTCGACAGAGACCTCGGGTCCGGAGGAAGTGTGACCTACTACCTGCAGGTCAGACAGAACCACTTCCTGTGGAGTCACGCTTCAATCATTTAGTCTCTCTTCAAGGGAACAAGATAATAATCAGTGAGGATATCTGAATCTGTAATGCCAGCATTAAATCTGTGTGAGGCTCAGTTTGTAGAGGACAGTCACAGGCTCGTATCGCTGGCCATCGAACAGACCGTGACACCAAAGCACCATCAGAAAATGTGCTGCTACTGGATTAAATTTCAATTACATTTAGGCAGGTTGAGGGCTTAGTGTGAGGCATCTGAGGTCAGCGGAGCATCCAGCCTCCAGTGCAGCTTCCCCCGAGGAAAACACATGACAAGTGAATGTCTATCATTTCTCATCAGTTCTGTTATAATTACATCCAAAGCGCATCAAAATTGCACTGTGAGCCCATGCATACTGCATACTTCATCCAGTATTGTTTAATATCTCAGCAGCTTGTGACGGTGTTCAGTGAGAGTTTTATATGTCATATTTTGGAACAGATTGCTTCCTGAAGTGTTTGAGAGATGCATTATATCAGGGTTCCTCAGATCTTGCCCTGGTGGGCCAATGCGCTGCAGAGTTTAGCTCCAACCCTGATCAAACTCACCTACCTGTGATTTTCTAATGATCCTGAAGACATTGATTAGCATGCTCAGGTGTGTTTGATTAGGGTTAGAGCTGAAGTCTGCAGGACAGTGGATCTCGTGGGCCAGATTTGAGAATCTCTGCATTATTTGTTTCAGGAGACATTCCTTCATCAGTTATCATTTCGTTTGCAGTCGACACCCAGCACTAAGTTCACCATCGACGGTCACAGTGGAGCTCTGCGCATCAGATCCGGAGAATCGCTGGACTACGAGGTCTCCAGGACTCATTTTGTCACTGTGGTTGCAAAGGTGAACAACAGACTCAACCGTGTGAAATCCCTCTGTCCTCTGAGATAGACCAGCTTGTTTGTGGTGATCTTTCGTAAAGGCATTTATCTTGTAACAGTGAAGTCCACATGGAGTGCAAAGAGGAGAAGAATTTTCTCCTGATTTCTCAGTAAGTACCAGATGCTCAGAGCTGTGTGTCTGTTTCAGGATGGCGGGGGTAAATATCATGGAAAATACCAGGTCATGACCTCCACAGCCATCATAACCATCAATGTCCTCGATACCCAGGATTCTCCTCCAGTGTTTGTTGCTACTCCGTATTTTGGATTTGTGTATGAAGTCTCTGTACCAGTAAGTGTGACATGATTTCATATCTAAAATCCTGAAAAAATAGAACTAAACATTCCAGCTCAAGTAATACCTTCATTGTGCTTGTGTTCAATTACTTTTCAAGAAATCTTCAGAGATTTTCATTTAGAGGAGTCACATTAAAAAAAAAAATTCTACTCATTGTAACTGGTTAGTGATAAATGAGTGCTAGACTCCAATGTATTTGACTGTATTGACTGGCGGAGGATGTCCAGTAACTGAGCTTTTATGGCGATGCTCTGTCTGTTTGTGTGTTTTGTGTGCAGGGCTCAGAGATATTCACTGTTTCTGCCAAAGACGGCGACCAGAACAACCCCAACACCATGCATTACTCCATTCTGAGCGGTCAGCTGCGTTATCACCTCACTGCTCATTTAACTTCTGAACTCCAGAGCTAGACATTCATCGTGTCATAAATACTTCCATCAGTAATATCTCCTGTCTCCTCTTCTGTTCACTAAAGGCAGCGATGGCTTCTTCAGCATCAACAGCACGAGCGGCTGTATCAGCTTGACATCTTTCCCTGTACAGCTGAGGAACGAGTTATACGAGTTACAAGTCAAGGTTGTCTATATTTATGATATGAATATCACTAAAGCTTGAGTAAGTGTTTCTAAGTAGCATCACACATGGCCTAATAAAACTTATTTTATTGTAAATCAAGGCTGCAGAGGTTGGAGCCGACAGGTTTTCTGATTACAGCGTGACCACAGTCACTGTTCGTGTGGTGGACCTCAACAACCATCCGCCCACTTTCTACGATGAGAACGGCCCACAGAACTGCTTCGAGCTGAGCATGTACGAGCATCCGCCGGAAGGAGAGATACTCCGCGGCCTGAAGATCACGGTCAACGACTCGGACCAGGTGCACATTAAACTGCTGCTTTATACACCCGGGTTAGCTACCAGAGCGAGAGAGGTGTATTTCATTTAGCTCAAATTAATAGCATTAAGCTATAAATACTAAAAGTGAGAGAATTAAACTCCAGGTTAACAGAAGAATAAGGCAGCAGTGCTGTATGCTTTCAGTCCTTCACATTTCACACACAAACCACAAACTCTTGAGATTCACACACATTATGGCACAGTGATTAAGATTAAGGTTGTTGACACCTGCCATACAAATGATTAGCTGTTTTTGACTGTTTTCTATGCATTAAAAAAACACTTTTATTAGAAATAGCACTTTGTTAAATTATGAGGAGCTTTTTCTGTGACTGTTTTAATATATTTTTCCCCCATTAATGTTCCATATTCTCTGAATCTCCTGTTCTCGTTCAGGGAGCAAATGCTAAGTTCAGGCTGCTGTTGGTGGGACCTTCTCGAGTTCTCCGTGTGGTTCCTCAGACGGTTCTCAATGAAGCCCAGGTCACCATCATCGTGGAAAACTCGTCCGCCATCGACTACGAAAAATACCAGTTCTTAACATTCAAGGTCTGATCCTGATCTTTTATTTTGATCACACTGACAGTAGGTTATCTTTTAGCTGAATGTTTTATCCTGAGCAGTGTGTGTGCTGTTTTTCAGCTGTTAGCGGTGGAGATCAACACTCCCGAGCGCTTCAGTGCCACTGCGGAGATCGTCATCAATCTTTTGGACACAAACGACAACATTCCCAAGTTCTCCTCTGAGTTTTACATCGCCAGGATCCCTGAGAATTCCCCAGGAGGCTCCAACCTCGTCTCAGTGACCGTGAGCAGCTTGACATTATGTTTAACAGTAAAGAATGAGCTTTCTCTTGCAGCTCCGGGTCTAATGTTGGACGTCTGGAGCGTTTGTGTGTGTTATGTGTCTGTGTTTGAGCACTGAGGTGTATCTGGTGTTTTTCCAGGCGACAGACCCGGATTCAGGGCTTTGGGGAGAAGTGAAATATTCCATCTACGGCTCTGGCGCTGATCTGTGAGTACAGACCTTAGTATTGAACATTGCTGGCTTTTAATCAGTGATTTTTCTCTTATGCAATGCCATATTCAGAGGTCCAATAACGGAGATAAAAATTTTGTTCAGTCATCTGTTTAGATTAAGCTTTAAATAATAATGGACATCACTGCAAATAACAGCTTGATATTTTTGCAAGTAAAAGATATCTTAATGGGCAATTCAGCTCAAACAGGAGGGGACCAAACTCAAAGTCTGTGATTTTAACTGGATGGTGTGTGACATTCTCACAGGTTGGTTAGTTCTGTCAGTCATGTGCTTGAGTTTAGGGTTAGAGGTCAAGTTCAGGAAAAGTGGCACAGATGACCTCACGCTCGTCCGTATCTGGACGCTTCGCTTGTTTTTATAAGGACTAAAGGACAAGCACAAAACAGTTTACAGACAGACTCCAGCGAGGGAGCTGGCTAATCTTGTAATGGGATTGGAGAAGTAAAAATAGCGTCTCCACACCCGCGAGTGAGTCAGGGCCCAATTAACGAGCGATCTGACAGCTGGAGGTAGAACACATGCGGGTAATGCAAAACCTGTAAATTTATGCCTTGCTTCTTCCCCAATGCAGGAGGCAAATATAATGGTGTGAAAAATAGCGGCCAAAAAACACAAGTACTTTGATTTATGATCTGAATTCCTTGGTATAAAAACATGGAGCTAACATGGAAGTTAACATAGTATTTCATAGTTCATCCACAGTACTTTTTCATCCATGTACTCATGATTTAATAGTATATCACTGTGGTTTATGTGAAGAAAATGAAAGTTCATTATGTGCTAATTATTTACACTTGTGTGTTTTTCAGAATGGGCTCAAAGGGCCCATGGCTGCTTTTCTAATGCAGAGCCGAGACAATCCAATGAAAGCTCTTGGCCTGGCCATCAGCATCATTACTGTGATTGTTTTGGTGACAGTTATGATCTCCACCATCATGTACTTTCGCAACACAAAGTCCAACAGGATCAAACCAGCGCGCCGCATCATTCGCAGGAGGCCCAAAGAGCCGCGCCGTTGGACCTTCAGGCCGTGGTTTGGACGGAGCGACCTGAGCTTTGGAAAGTTCTTCACTGATGATGAGACGAGGGACAACACATACCACAGCAGCCCCAGAGCCAAGCCGCCGGCCCCCAGCGCTCCGGTGCTCCCTCCTCCGCCTCCGAGCGAGCGGCTGCGGTCAGTGCCCACGGTGTCCGGCTCCCTGGCCTCCAGAAACACCAGCCGCAGCTCCAGCTGGAGGACCAGCAAAAGCACAGACGGCGCCCAGAGATCTGGCCAAAACAAAGACGGCAGTGGCATCAGCTCCGCTCTAGTGTCTGAGCTTAAAATGAGAATAGAACAGAAAATCAATGAGGCAAATCAAGGCTACTATTACTGACACACTGACCGGTGTGAGTAACAGATACGATGCGTATTTGATGGACCGCTGGACGCTTGATGTTACGAACAGCTCGCTGAGAAGAATGTTTATTTTTTTGTGAAAGTGTTTTTAAAGTGGCCGTCTGGTTTACCCTTAAGTGTTTCTGTTTTTCAACATGCTGTACAGTCATTTAAGATTTCTATAGATTATTTATGTGACTTGTATGTACTGACTGTATTTCTTCAGCTTTTGCCTTGAGGATCTTTGGTAAAAGTCTGCAGACTGTATGGACATCGGACTCTCATTTGTAGTTACTGCTGTCAAACCTTTTTTTTTTTTTATTGTTTTATAAAGAGTTTTTCACTGATATTTTGAAAGTTTTTTAATTTTCCTGTACATTTTCTGAGAAAGAGAGCAGATGAACATCCATGTGCTATTTGCTGTAGGGCATATCTGAATGTCAAATGTGTTTATCATGAATCATCATATCAAGTCTGTGCTATAACTGAATTTAGAAATAAAAATTTTTTAAAGTGTTATCTAAAGAAATTAAAAGAGACTGATGTAATTGTCTTACTATTCAATTTTTATTGTTACATTTACATGAACATTTACCAAACATTTTTATTGAAGGCAACTTAAATTAGGTAAAACCAGCGATTTATAACAGAAAGCAAGAATATGTGTAGAATATGTGTTATAACAGTGCTGCAATACTAGTAAAATCAGAGCTTTCTACTGACATTTTCTTACATTGTTAAATAATAATATAAATTATAATTGTATTTGTAATCTAACCCAGATTCCTATAACTGTAGTACAGTATATCTTGAGAAGTGTTTGGCATTAATATTTCACATCTCGTTTTTAGGTCCGCTTTACATTAAAGAAAGCAATGACTCCCACTAAGCTTTAATCAGTGCTGGGAAGGTTACTTTGGAAATGTAATGGGTTACAGATTACAAATTACCCTATATCAAATGTAATAGTAGTGTAACTTTTTCAATTACTTTATTAAAGTAATGTAACATTACTTTTCTAAATTTCTAATGAATGTTTATTTGCAACTGTTAATCATTTTCAAACATCTACACCATGCAGGCTTAACCTTACAGTAGTGCTCACACTGCCAGACTTTCACAATCCTTCATCACTTGAATTAAGATCAAATTTGAACACATCCTCCACAAAATCAGACTTTAGTACCACCTTTTACTTTGAGATTGATCTGAAGTTCTGTTAAAATCATAAGAAATAGTTTACTGATACTGTTTTTGAAACCAAATATTTGCATAACTACAGGAATCGCTGCATCTAACAATGGTTTGGGAAAAAAATAGTTAATTAATAATAATAAATAAAAACATATACATCAACTCAAATACGGTTATCTAATAAGCATGTGTCCTATTCTGTGTACTAAACTCCTGAAACATTGGTGTCTCTGTATATGATATGATGATAGTTTTCTCAAAATAAGTAAAATGCTCATGAAGTGACTCAGAGCAGTTCTAGAGATTGTTTATGTATTCATGTACTCATATACTGAGGCGGCAGAGGCTGAAAACACCGCGAGCTTCATTAGGCCTATGTGTAAAATTTTCTAAATGAAACCGCATGTCTGCGCCATTAATTTCCACGAGGGGTGGACTGGGAAAAAAATTTCAGGCCGGGAAATCTCACAGTCTTACACCCACAACATATTCTGAAACATGGACAACCCTATTTTTTGTATGGGCCTCACATACAAAAGGTTTAAATCCTTAGGTTGGGGACATGCAAAATAAATCAAGTGTAGCGTTAGTTCTAGCAGGTCACGTTAGTCAAGCTCGCATCAGCTGACTCTCAGCTGATCCCCATCAACCTGTAGGAATACAACACCTATCTAAGCATTCATATACTGTATAAGGTCCCTCAGTATTATCAGCAGTTTTCGCATTGCTCAATAGCTAATTACCCTCCTCCATCCCCACACAACATATTCTGAAACATGGACAACCCTACTTTTTGTATGGGCCTCACATACAAAAGGTTTAAATCCTTAGGTTGGGGACATGCAAAATAAATCAAGTGTAGCGTTAGTTCTGGCAGGTCACGTTAGTCAAGCTCGCATCAGCTGACTCTCAGCTGATCCCCATCAACCTGTAGGAATACAACACCTATCTAAGCATTCATATACTGTATAAGGTCCCTCAGTATTATCAGCAGTTTTCGCATTGCTCAATAGCTAATTACCCTCCTCCATCCCCAGCTCCTCCTCTGTCAGTCGAGATTCAGCCTTCTGATTCTCCTTTGAATCAGACTAATTCTAAAATGTGTACATAAAATTATTGAACTTTAACGATATCAGCAATACATTCATGTTGGTTCTGTTCTGTTTACCCTGGGGGGTTATCGCTGCGCTCCTCTCTTATGCTAGGCTGCATGGATGCGCAGGGAGTTCTTGCCCAGAACAGAACCATACCGCCAATCCAAACTGTATGCTAATTGTCAATCATCTCTGATGATATTGGTCCTGACAGAAATGTAATGTGTACAGACTGTAGACCGGAAACCGTCTTTTACTTTTTGACAGGAATGACAATGAAGCTGTGAGGAAAAGAAGTACAGTGCGTTCAATGGATTGTACTGTTGTTTAACATAATAAATGGTCAGCTCAATAAACATCTTTTAGAGACAAATTTTAGACAAAACTCCATAAAACAGATTTGATTTGTATTTATTTCTACTACAAATTCCATGGTTAAACTATGGTTAGTGTAGCAAAAACTATGGTTAATTTGTGGTTACCATGGTTTAACAATAGTAACCATTGTCTTTGGATTTATAGTAAAATCATCGTTAATTTTCATATGGGTTGTGTTGTTGTCTGCCCTAGCTCCCCCTAAACCTATTATAAAATATGATTATTTTTCTGCTAAATCACTACTGTAACATTACAATAGATAATAATGATGTCCTTTATACAGTATTTTGAGTGATGACTGATGAGCAATGGGCTGCTGCTGCTTAACCAAGTAAACAAAGAGAAAACTGCAATAGCATATTTACAGATGAAACTGACCTGCTCTTGAAACCCTGAACAGTAGTTGTGCTTCTCTGCTCCATCTGTGCGCTTCCACAGTCCTCTCCGTTCTCTCTCTCGCATTGATTACTCTGATCCAAACCGTTTGCCATGACTAACCGATTCATGATTTAGTAGAGATTTAATTATCAAATGGCTAATTCGGAAATAATCGCTTTAGTACCTTCGGCAGGCAATTATACAATAATGATATTAAAATAACGGGCCAAATCGGCTGCCAGGCCACCGGGAATAGTCCCGGTTCTCCCGATGGCCAGTCCACGCCTGATTTCCACAGAGAGGCAGAACCTGCAGGATTCATAGATTGTCTTTTTGCGACTTAATATTCACAGACACAAGTCCATATCGCGTTTTGATTCAAGAGTACTGACCTTCTTTTGATTTATTCGTCCAAAATGTGGCATGTTCCGTCCGCGTTAGGCTATAGGAATTCCGTTTTTATGGCTGGATTCTACGAACCAGTCTGCGTCTCAGAGTAGCAGTGGTGGAAAGAGTACTGAAGAGGACTGTTACATTGCTGAAATAATACTCAATTACAAGTAAAAGTACTGGTGTCAAAACAGTACTTCAGTAAATGTACAAAGTACTCCTCTCAAAAACTACTCAGAGTACTACTAGTTACTTTTTAGCTGGCAATATTTAATGAATTACCAAAAATATTCATATCAAAGATCTATGTGGATAATAGCTACTTTGAACAAAACCCACTTTTATCTTATTGACAAAGTATGTGAATTAGTGGTCATGATACAGGAATTTCTAACTTCAATACCTTGAAAAATATCAGTATCAAAGTACCCGTGAACCGGAAGTTGCAACTGACTTCAGTGTTGTGATGTATTTCCAAGTGAAACGGAATATAGAATAAAGGGCGGGGTTTTATTGTGGTGCACCTCCACTCCAGCTCTTGCTCAGAGCAGATTCACGGTTGGATAGGAGAGGTTAAAGGGGTCCTATTAAAGTACTGGTGTCAAAACAGTACTTCAGTAAAAGTACAAAGTACTCCTCTCAAAAACTACTCAGAGTACTACTAGTTACTTTTTAGCCGGCAATATTTAATGAATTACCAAAAATATTCATATCAAAGATCTATGTGGATAATAGCTACTTTGAACAAAACCCACTTTTATCTTATTGACAAAGTATGTGAATTAGTGGTCATGATACAGGAATTTCTAACTTCAATACCTTGAAAAATATCAGTATCAAAGTACCCGTGAACCGGAAGTTGCAACTGACTTCAGCGTTGTGATGTATTTCCAAGTGAAACGGAATATAGAATAAAGGGCGGGGTTTTATTGTGGTGCACCTCCACTCCAGCTCTTGCTCAGAGCAGATTCACGGTTGGATAGGAGAGGTTAAAGGGGTCCTATTATGCTCTTTTACAAAGCCTTGAATTAGTTTTGGGGGTGTACTAGAACATGCTCTCATGCTTGGTGGTTCGAAAAACGCATTATTTTTCACATCATTTACATTATTAACATACCTTTCTCTCCATCCTGGCACAAACGGCTCGATTAGTTCCGGGTTTGATGAAGGCCCGCCGTCCGAAAAACGAAATGTGTTGTGATTGGTTAGCTGTCCCAGTGCATTGTGATTGGTGAACAGCTTAGACAGTGTTTCAGTACTGCCCCGCCCCTTGCCAAAGCAGCAAGTTCCGTCTGCTCCGGTTTAGTTAAGGATGGCGTCAATATTGCCATATCAATCTGAGCCGGATTCAGACCCAGAGAATATTGAACAAGAGGATCGCGCAGAACCTTTGCATGCACGGATATTGCAAGACATATTAGAGTGGAAACGTTATTGTTGTTTTATTGGCTAAATCATGTTTTAGATAGGATGTCAACAACCAATTTAAAACAACTGCATTTACTATGTACAGATAAGTGCAACGGTAATATGTATTACATCGCAGAAACGGCATACAACTTATACTTTGAAACTTAAATAACACACACAACAACAAATAAAGCAGCACACTTACAGGCTGTGATGCAGATACAGCAGATTGTCCCGACAAAGTGGGAACTGCTCCGTCTTTCAGCAAAAGCTTTTTGGCGAAACCAGCACTGTACTCCCTCATGACTCCCCTCAAAACTTGATGCTAGAGCAGCACTTCTTCATCATCGTCTTGTCTGATGCACTCAACCAAGCGTTCTAACCACGACTTCGCCCCTCCCCTCCCCACCCCCCAACCATTCGAATTTCCGTGGGCGGGATTTATTTTACTGATATTCTAATGGGCTGCTTTGTGACATCACAAACCCCCAGAAAACAACGCTGTAGTTCAAACAAGCTGTTCGTTGTAGTTCTTGAAAAGGGATTTTTTTCCCTTTGGAGTGGACTTTGAGATTTGTAACTTTGTAGATCTTTTTTTATGCCCAAACATACACACTACACACTGACTAAAATTCAAAAAGTGAAAAAGCATAATAGGACCCCTTTAAGAATCTCTGCTTGTTTCGTCTGACATCATGCTTC